GGGAATTTCCACACTGAAGCATCAGGGAGGTTTTCCCAATCCCCTTCTGGATGATATCATGGAATCCCAGAGTGTTTTGAGTGGGAAGAGACCTTAAAACCCATCTCATCCCACTGTCCCAGGGTGCTCCAACCCAGCCTTGGGCACTGCCAGGGATCCAGGGGCAGCCACAGCTGTGCCAGGGCCTGCCCACCCTCCCAGGGAACAATTCCTGCCCAAAATCCCATCAAATTCCATTCTCTGGCAGTGTGACCCCATTCCCTGTGTCCTGTCCCTCCATCCCTTGTCCCCAGTCTCTCTTCAGCTCTCCTGGAGCCCCTTTAGGCCCTGCAAGGTCATGACAAGGTCACCCCAGACCCCCAGCATGGTTTAACTCCTGAATGTGGCAAATTCTGTCATAAATTCATAAATTGGGCCAAATTTTCTTCCTCCCAGAATTCTGGAACCAGAGCTCAGCAGWGGAATAAGGCTGKGGAGAWGCCCYGAGYAGTGAGGRWTTRGTGTGGRCAGCAAGAGGGGAACTGGGAGCAAACTTTCCCACTGGTAATCCAGGGAATTCCCACCCGCACGTATGGCTGGAAAGCTGGAACAAAACCGTGATTCCCTGGAGCAGAGGATGCAGGGAACGGGTCACTGCTGGTAATCGCAGAATGATTCAATTCTGGGAGCTTTAATTTGGTGCAGATGAGCTCTGCAGTTGCTTCAGAGCAGCACAACRGGAAGGCTCCACGCAAAGCCGGGGCTGTTTCTCACACCACGCTCCAGATGCTTCCAAACTCGGCTCTGCCTCCATGTGCCTTTGGATATGGAAAAGTGCACTTGGGCTTCGTCTTAGTTGTGTTATTGGCTCTCTTCTTATCAGATCAAGGTGTTCATTGCGTGGTTCTGTGGTCCAGATTTGGGGTGGAGGGAATTTTGCAGCCCRTTTCCTGATTTTCTGCTTTTTAAGGGAAACCCCCTGGAGCTGGGGATGGGCATTCCCTCCTCATCCATATGTTCCTAATTCCCATCTGTTAACGAGGCTATCAGTTCTAATTTCCTTTGGAAAAGGCACGGGGATGATTATTAATTATGGAAATTAATGAAAATAACAGCCCGGATCCCCACGCTGATGATGGGCACTACCGTAATTACCCGTGCTTTACCGTAATTGCACGTGGAGCYCTCCAAAGCCCCAATCCATGGATTTGCTGCACGTGGAGCAGTTGGAATTTTCTCCTGCTCCCTGCAATCTGTTTGTTTTCCTCGTGGCTGTCGCATCGATTTAAGGACGGGATTGCCACAGGGGSTTGCACATGACATCAGCCATTGATCCCTGCAGAGGCAGCAGCCTGCTTGCTCCCTGCACAGCAATTCCCTCCCGAGCATCCTGACATCAAGGARAAATCCCAAATCCCCGCCACGAGCAGCGGAACATCCGGGATGGAACATCCGGGATGCTTTTGAAAGGGRTTTGTGTGATTAAGTGAATCGTTGGGATGGCAAATCCCAATCAACTTTGCAAATCCTGCGGGAATTCCCACGAGAAGCTCAGCTGGGTTTGCTGGGTTTGATCCTCGCAGCCCTTTCAGCAGCGCTGTGATTCTGCTGCCTCTGTTTATAAAAGGTTGCTGATTAAAGCACTGGAAAAGTGAGGGAGATTAAGACCGTGGGGGACAGATTCCCGCTTCCAGATGGGGTACGAGAATCCCGAGGATTTTTTCTGTGCTGCAGATGGCTCGGGTGACCTTGTGGAGGCCACAGGATGGCTCTGTGCCCTTGTAGGGCTGCTTGTGAGGTGAAGCCGTCGTTATCAGCTGCTGGTCCAGCAAAGGGGCTGTTGTAAGGAAACGCAGCCTATGTGCAGTGCTCCCGAGCGGTTTGTGTGTGATCCTCTGCTCCCGGCGTTCTCCCGGGGCAGAAAAAAGCCCGGGATCAGGGAATGTGAAATTGCAGGGCCCTGGGAGAGCTCACGGTCCCGGCTGCTGCAAAGGCGTGGCTGGGAGCAGGGATGGGATCAGGGTGCCCTCCCTGCCCCGGGTGCTGTTCCTGCTGCCCCTCCTGCTCCTTGTCCCGCGTTCTCCTTGGCAGTTTCCAAAGGGCTTTTGTCCCTCGTGGTTGGCAGGAGGTGGAGACCTGAGAGAAAAAAAACATGGGCCAGAGCTGTGGGATGGGTTCCTGGACAACCAGAATCCTTCTCATCCCAATCCTGCTCATCTTCCATGGGATGCCAAAATTCACATCCCAATTCTGCTCATATCCCATGGCAAACCAACCTTCACATCCCAATCCTGCCCATATCCCTTGGGATACCAAAATTTGCATCCCAATCCTGCCCATATCCTCGGGATACCAACCTTAATATCCCAACCTGCTCATATCCCATGGGATGCCAACTTCACATCCCAATCCTGCCCATGTCCCATGGGAAACAAACCTTAACATCCCAATCCCGCTCATATCTCATGGGATGCCAACCTTCTCATCCCAATCCTACCCATATCCCATGGGATATCAGCCTTCACATCCCAATCCTGTTCATTTCCCATGATTTAGGATTTAAATTGTTTGAGTTACCTGGAAAGGGAGGTGTCGCTGTGTGATGGTGACAGTAAGATTTGGTGGGGATTTTGTGCAGGAATTGTTCCCTGTAGGGTGGGCAGGCCCTGGCACAGCTGTGGTGCTCCTGGATCCCTGGCAGTGCCCAAGGCCAGGCTGGAACACTCTGGGATGGTAAAGGTGTTCCTGCCATGGCAGAGGTGACATGGATGGGATTTAAAGTCCCTTCCCACCAAACCATTCTAGAATTCCCTGTCTGGGTGGCACTGGCAGGGCAGGACAGGTTGCTGGAGCAGCGCACAGCAGCGATGGAGGTGGCACTGACCTTGGGGCTGCACAGGGAACAGGGAGGTGCCAGCAGCTCCCCACCTCTGCTGATGCTGAGTTTAAGGAGAGGAGAAGGTGCCTCATGGCTTCCTTTGCTCCACGGGGCCGAAGGTTGAGCTGGAGCCCCATCTGGATGTTCTGGAGCCAAGCCTTGTCCAGGCTGGGCTGTCAGCGGGCRCAGGGAGCGGGATCCAGGCTGTCCCCACACCTCACGTGTCCCACAGCACGTGGGGAAGCCTCGTGTCCTCCTTGCAGAGAGGCTGAGAGCTCTGAAGGCAGCTGGAGACAGGAGAAGATTTCACAGCAAAGATGGCCCTTTTATTTTGGGAATCCTGGCCTCTGGCACGYGCTGTGCTCCAGGCACGGCCACCAAGGACATCCTGGCCAGCAGGAGAGCTGCACATCCTGGCCGTTCTGTCCTGAGATTGTGCCACAGGCACGGCACAAGGGGATTTTCTTTGGATCCCGTGCCCGAGTTCAGCTCCGGCTTCCTCATAAAGGGATTGAGATAAAAACTACAGAAATGGTTAAATCCTGAAATTCGGGTTGTGAATCGCAGAATGGCTGGGGTTGGGAAGGACCTTAAAGCTCATCTCGTTCCACCCCCTGCCTTGGGCAGGGACATCACAGATTCATTCTTTTAAGAATGAATGTATGAATTTATGAATTGCAGTTGCAGATTTCCATTGATTATTAATTTATACCTCTCCTCTGGAGGATATTTCGCTTTGGAAAGGGACATTTTGCTGCKTTGCTGCGTTTTGCCCTTTAGCACGTAGGAGGAAAAACCTGATCACGCTGAAAAGGTGAAAAAATCCATCTGGGAATACTTTGAAAATCGCATTCTCTGTAAAGGACAGGATTAAAGCAAAGCAGGAACGGACTTGAGACTACCGCCTGCTTTCCCCTTATTTAAATATTCCCGATCTTCCTCCATTTTCATTTCCCCTCAAAAACATGGCTGTGTAGCGGAGCTGGCAGCCCCTCCGAAATCAGCAGCATTTTCCTGGCGTGGCTCTGGTGGAGCGGGGACCCCCTTGAGGGGTTGAGCGAGCAGCACGATCCCGAAACGCCCCGCACCCCCAGCCCCGTGCGGATCCGTGCGGAGCCGCTCCCGTTCCTTTGTGCGCTCCGGGATCTCGTCCCTCTCTCCCGGCCGCGCATCCACCCACCATCCTCGGCGAGGATGCGCTGCCCCGCTCGGCTTTGTCTGCCATCAGCAGCTGCCGCKTTTTGCGGGATCTCCGCCTCGAACCAACGCTGATTTTTTTTTGGGGAATTGGGGAAGGGGGAGATCCGCGTGCTCGAGGAGCTCTCCCGTCGGAGCGGCGATTTTTCCGGGAGGATTTGCGCTGCTTTGCAAGGAGCTTTCCAAAATGCCTGAAGCCAACTATTTGTTATCTGTGTCGTGGGGTTATATCAAGGTGGGTTTGATTCCTGAAGGATTGTTAATTCCTGCATTGTTAATGGCTGCTTTTTTTTTGTGCTGCGTTGCTCGGAGAAAACCCTTTGTCRGGAAAATAAGCTTTGAAAATGCGGATTTCTGTGTATTTTGGCTCATCGTGTGTGTAGTGTGCATGCAGAGTCCATGGATGTCATTTTGGGGGGGAATTCAGCGTTGCAGGCTAAAATGATGCAGCAGTGAAAATGCTGGATTATAAAATCAGGAGCATCACAGCTGAATATCTAAGGGAATAATGCCTGAATCCTGCATTTTAATGTAGGATCCTCAGATTTATGGCGTATTTCTGCCCTGGATATGCAGTTGCCTGATCCTCGTTTAAGACAAAATGGAGCAAATTTAGCAAATCCAAAACAAAAGAAGGTTTGGGGAGGGGGAATTTCAACCCGAGATAAAAATCGGAGCTCTCAGAGAGATTTATCTGAAGYGATCTCCCCTCGTTTGTGACAGTAACAATTAACGAGCATCTTTTAGAGGAAATTAATTCCGTGGGCTGAAAAGAAATACCCAGTCATGGTGCTGCCGAGCAGGATGTAACTGAAACCATCTGTCGCTGCCTCCATCCCAAATATCCCCGGAATTTTACCGGTTTGGGAAGCCTCCCGTGCTGGAAGTGTGGGTTTGGGAAAGGATTCCATAAAAATGCCGTGTCTGTGTGTGTTCTTGCCCTCAGTTCAAGAGGATGCTGAACCGGGAGCTGACCCACCTGTCCGAGATGAGCCGCTCCGGCAATCAGGTGTCCGAATACATTTCCAACACTTTCCTGGGTAAGGAATTCATCCCCCTCTTCTCTTCTGATTGCCCCCATTCACAGCTTTTCTTTGGAATATTTTGGGTTTTCACTTTCAAATGGCTGCGGSGAGGGGAAGAATAGCGTTTGGAGAAATGTGTCCGCAGAGGAATTCCTTCCTTCTGAGCCATGGGATGTTCTGGGAGGATTCCGGCGGTGCCTTATGCAATGCTGGGGTTTTGTGGTGACCTTATGGAAAGGACAAAGTCACACAAACCCCGAATGCAATCACAGCCTCAGCTCAGCCGTACCTTCCCTTCCGAGATGGGATTAAAACGAAATCACCCCAAAATTTGATTTATTGCTTTGTGTGAATTTGCTCCTTTTGCACCAGAAGTCGGAATAAAGGGAATATTTTGCATTTCATTCATTCTGTGGGAGCTCACAGCTCTACGGGCATGAATAAATCCTCTGTCAACATTTGTTAGGAGAAATGGGATTTTCTCAGGATTTGYGACCATTTGCATATCAAATGAGGAGGCTCACATTTACAGATATCCCTGAGCCAACAGCTCCAAAGGCTGAGTGTCTGTGGATGCTGCAGCTCCTGGGGAATTGTGCCCGAGGTGGGAACAGCCTGGAATGCATTCCCACAATTATTCCCATGAAGGGTTTTGCAGAGATCCCTGGAGCTGCTCCTGCCTTTGGGATCACAGCTCAGCCTTAATAACCCATGGAAACTGGGAACTGCTTACTGGGAATGCTGGTCCCATTGCTCAGCTAACAGGGACATCCAGGGAGCAGGAATTGCAACAGGGAACAGGAACAACCCGCGTTGGGATGCACAGGGGGCATATCCAGGGATTTGGCTGGTGGTCAGCTCTTCCCAGCAGCCACGAGTGTGGATAGGGATGTGGCCACCAAAAATCAGCCACACTCGGGTTTTTGGCAGGGGTTGGTGAGGCAGAGCTGCCCAGGGGGTGTTTATTCATGGAATCCCAGACTGGGGTGGGTTGGGAGGGACCCTAAAGATCATCCAGTGCCACCCCTGCCACCTSCACTGTCMCAGGGKGCTCCAGSCTGGYYTKGG